GGCGTTTGGCCGCCCCGAGGGTTTGGGGGTTTTACTCCCTTGTTTACCTTGGGGGTAAGTGGTAGTTATAGCACTGGTGGGGCACAGGGTACTGCGTAGCTAGTTTTCACCTATGACAGCGGCCGGCTCTGTTCCCTCTGGGTACGTTGTCCACTTGTGTGGTTTTTCTTTTATATTTGTTTTTGCCTGGTAGGGGGGTCTGCCTTGTGTTCCCCCCTCCCCCCTTATATTAAGTTCGTTTGTGTGGTGGCACCCCCTGCTTCGCCCTCGCGAGTGGACACGTCCCGTGGGTTCAGCTTTTGCAGTTTGCTTGGTAGTTTGGGGCACCAGTTAGCAGTGCCCTGCCTGGGATAACCCTTAGCAGACCCAGTCTAGGGGCCCTGGGAAACCCCACAGGGGCTCTCGGGTCTGATAGTGGAGACCCTTGCGTCCCCTCTCGCTTTGTGCGAGTTGAGGGTTGCTCTGTCCCTTTGTCTCAGGGTGACTCTCCTTGTTTATGTCTCCGTCATGCTGCCTGTTGGGTCGGTGACACATTCGACCCCGAGTCCTGCGAGCTTTGTTGCTTGTTCGTGACTCCATTCGCCCAGTCTGCTGATGAATTCCCGTGGGTGCTGGCAGCTCGTGTGTTGCAGGGTAGGATGTTGCAATGCGCTCGGGTTTGTCGCTTCCCCGGACGCCCCGATGCTGCCCCGCTTGTGTAGGGACCCAGACTTGGGGGTTTTGGTCGCTTCGGCCTTGGTTCTTCCACGCTCCCCTTGTTTTTCCCCCTCCTGCTTCCGCCCCCTACACATCTGCAGCCTTCGAGGTCGGGGCGGGGTTAGAGGTTCTGAGACTTGGGCAGTTTCGGGGGTTGCCCCATCCGGGGTAGCTGCGGAGGCATTCGAGTCTGTTCCTCCGGCCGATGCTCCGGGGTCTGACCAGTGGGCCCCTTCTCTTTCAGCTCTCTCGGCTGCCCCGGCTTTTTCTTGTGGGGCCGGGGCTTTGGAGGTCGACTCAGCCCCGGGGCCTGGTGTAGAGGCTCCTGGGGTTGGGGAGGAGCGGCCTTGGGGGCCTTGGGCTCCATTGCGGCCCGCCTGGATTTCCGTCCTTCTGAGCGGGGCTTACTGTTGCGAGGAGTGGGGTTTTCTTTCCCCCCTCTGCGTACGATTTGGGCTTGGGTTCTGCTCCTCCCCGGGTTCGGTTCCATGTCCTTGTGGTTTCTTTGGTTCCGTCTTCCGGAGGTTTTCGGCTAACCGCATCTCTTCGCCTGCGGTGCGGTTGGCCTTTGCGGCTTACCTCCTGCGTGTCCCGGAGTTTGCCTCCATACTGGTTCCTTCTGTTCTGGACAGGTTGGGCTCATTGTAGCCATTTGGGATCCTTGTAGCAGTTTGGGCTACTGTCTCCAGTTGGGCTGCTTGTCGCCGGTTGGGCTACTTCTCGCCTTGTTGGGCTCCTTGTAGCCGGTTGGGCTACTTCTCGCCTGGTTGGGCTACTTCTCGCCTGGTTGGGCTACTTCTCGCCTGGTTGGGCTACTTCTCGCCTGGTTGGGCTACTTCTCGCCTGGTTGGGCTACTTCTCGCCTGGTTGGGCTACTTCTCGCCTGGTTGGGCTACTTCTCGCCTGGTTGGGCTACTTCTCGCCTGGTTGGGCTACTTTCGTGTCCTGCGCATGCGCCATGGGAGTTTGTTTTGGTTCCAGGCGGTGTGCACACGTGTTCTGCATCCATTTTCTCAATCCAATCCGTGCCCCGTTGCTTTGGGGGTGTTCTGGGGTGCCTCTGTGGGGAAGTCACGAGGTTTTTCCCTGCGTTCTAGGGTGGGGAGCCTCCTTCGCTGTTCCCCTCCTCTCCAGCATGGGCGCCCTGGCCGCCTCCGGCGGATACGGACTCGAAAGCTTGCGTCATGGCCCTTCAGCGCCTATGTTCTGCAGGTGAGTTGGTGCCGTTTCGCGTCTCCTTCGTCCTGACGCTGTTTTTGTTTTTGGGAGTAGGAATGGGTGTACATACATACTTGAGAACGTGGACCGTATCACCCGAGGTGCCTATTGCAGGGCTATTAGCCCATACTGGGCAGCTCTTGTTCTCTCCCTGATTCCTTCCTCGGTTCACGGGTGTCTGCGGGTGGCCTCTTGGCCCTTCCGAGGCGGCTCCTGCCTGTACTCTTCTTGCCCCTCTCCTATGCTTGTCTAACCTTGCTTGAGTTCGGGGCCCCGCCTCCACCTTGTTCCACAGTGGGCTGTTTGGTAGTACGTTTTCCTGTGTCGGAGGTTTTGTGTTTGCCTCCTTGTGCTTGCAGGTTGGGTTCTGGCTCTTTGGTTCCGCCTCTCCCCTGTCGTTTGCCTGTCGGGCGGATACTGTGCTTCTTGGGCGCTCTCGTCTCTGCTCTTGGGGCTGTGTATGGGGTCAGCCCATGTTGGGCTGCCTAATGTGTTCCTTTGTTTGCCTGTTACACTGCACACGTTTCTTCTACTGTCCCTGTGGCTCAATTGGGTGCTTGGTTTCCGCCTGTGTCCCCTTGTGTGCCACTCGTGTACGATTTATCTATCTTCTCTGTCGCTTCCTCGGGGAGTGTGGTGACATTTTGCTGCGGTTTTGGTACTGCAGCTGCGTGTTAGGGATGGTTGTGGCGTTGTTCAGCCCTTCCGTGCTCCCTCTGGGGCTCTCCTTCCTTGCTGGTCTTGCTGTGCCGGGCCTGGTTTTTCCATGTTCCTTGGAATATCTGTCTTGTCCTCGCCTCATTGTGATGCCTGGGGATGTGCTTGGGGTCTTCGTCTCGCCCCTCGCCTATCCTCCGGTTTCGGTTTAAGTTCCAGAGCTTAGTGGGCTCCCTTCCTTCGTGTTTTTCACGGCTGCCCCGGGGTTTTTCTTGACGCTGGGGCTTTGAAGGGACAGCTCGGCCCCGGGGCCTCCAGGGTGGGTTCCCGGGGCTGGGGTGGGGCTAACGTGAGGGGCCTCAGGCCCCGTTGGTCCCCGCCAGGGTGTTTCTAACCCTCTGGGCGGGGCTTGCAGTTTTGTGGTGAGGGGTTTTTCCGTTCCCCCTCTCCGCATGTGCTTTGTGGGCGTCTGCCCCTCCCTGGGCTCGGTTTCCTTGTCCATTGTACCCGTTGTTTCCATCCTGTCGGTGGGTGCTTTTCTACAGTTTTCGCCCCTTTTCTCTGGGACGGGCCTTCTCCGTCATGTCCCCCTCTTCTTGGGGTTTCTGCATGACTTTTGGTCTCGGGTGCGACAGGGTTTTTGTGCCTTCGTCCTTTGTGTCTGCTTCTTTTTGTTCTCGAAGGTTCGGGACGGTTTTGCTCCTTCCCGTTTTCTGGTACGTCTATCGTCATTCGGTTGAGCTTCCCTCCGGTCCTTTCTAGGGCTTGTGGGTCCTCTTCCCGGCAGCTTCTGGGTGTTTGGCCTTCTTGTTCTTTTGTGCTATTCTCTTCTCTTCGCGCTGTCTCGGTGCTACTCGTTTTCCCGGGGGCGATTTTGCTCCTCTGATGTGTCTTTTCGCTCCTGCCCTTCTGCGGGTTGTTGGTGCGGGGTGGCTCCTTAGGCGGGTTCCTTCTCTGTCAGCTGCACTTGTGGCGGTGGACTTGCACGCTTGTGGCATTTTCGTTTTGGTTCTGCGTTTTTCTTTTCCCTCCTGGGGCTGTCATAGGATTGGCTTGCAGAGGATGTAGAGGCGCTTGGGGCCATTCCTGGGTCTGGCACCTTGGTTTCTGCTGCTAGCTTTCGGTATCGATATTCCTTCTGTGCCGTTTCGCAGGCTGTATCGTGCGTTGTTTCACCTCCGGCCTGCTTATGCACTGCCTGTGTCGTCCTGGTCTTTGGACAGGGTGCTCTCCTGTTTTTCTTCTCCTTGGTGGTTGTGGCTCCTTGGGGTCAGGTTTGCTTTGCCTCGGCTTTCTTTTTATGTTGGTATTGGCCTCTGGGGGTCGTGTGGCAGAGCTTCAGAGCTTCAGACTGGGGGAGCCGGTCGGCCGAGCGGACAGCACGCGGGACTTGTGATCCTGTGGTCCTGGGTTCGATCCCAGGCGCCGGCGAGAAACAATGGGCAGAGTTTCTTTCACCCTATGCCCCTGTTACCTAGCAGTAAAATAGGTACCTGGGTGTTAGTCAGCTGTCACGGGCTGCTTCCTGGGGGTGGAGGCCTGGTCGAGGACCGGGCCGCGGGGACACTAAAAGCCCCGAAATCATCTCAAGATAACCTCAAGATTCTTGCTCTTCTCAGGCGCAGTGGTTTTTGGCTCCTATGGTTGTGGTCATAGGTTTCTTCGTCTGCGGCCATTCTCCCTTTTTTCTGGCGAATGATGTGCCTGCTGCTTTCCGGAGGGGTCCTTGGGTTGTTGTCTCGACTTTGTGTTGAGGAGTGGTTCACCGACCGCCTCCCGGGTATGTCCCCTTGTTTTCTTAGGTAGTCTTTGGTGAAGTAGCTCCGGTGAGCCGTAGGGGCTTTCCCCCCAGAAAACCAGCGTTGAATGTAATGAAACGCCATTTTCTGGGTGAGTCCCGGAGGCTCCCCGGTACCCTCCCGCCCTCTGGTCGGTGGGTTTTTTCGAGGTTTTTATATCCAGCCTCAGAACTGGGGCGGGGATCGCCAGCGCGGGGGTCTGGGGCTCCCCCCTTCCCCCTCCCGGGGAGGTGGGAGCTGCACAGACATGCGGCGCGGCTCGTGTGACATCATGCTTGTTAGTTCGTTTACCTGGGGGAGTTCTGTCCACTCGTTTGTCGATTTTTGTTGTTAACCAGAATAGGGGTTTGTTTTGTGGCGCTTACCTTTCTGGGTGCCTGTCCCGGTCGATGGCTGATATAAAATGCTCCAAATCACATGTGCATTTCTATGGGCCATTGCTCCCCATGCCTCTCTGAGGGGGCCAAGTTCTGGCTCGTGGTCCCCGGTAGGCCTAGAACTCCACCCACATCAACTGATGCAAAATAGTTAGGGTATCCATATCAGCCATGGATAGCTCCGGGAAGCCTCCGGGACTCACCCAGAAAATGGCGTTTCATTACATTCAATGATGGTTTTTTATAATTCCAGAAATCAAGTGTTCTACAACCATCAAGTAGGAGTAAATCAGCCATCCGTGCCTCTTCTATTAGATCGTCCTCGCACCCTCCTCCATCAGCCTATCAAATTACTATTGATGGTCAACCAGCTTTTTTATTGCCTCATATTGATGATCATCATGCATCAATTGAGGACAGTGAGTCTTCTATCATTGAAGGTAAGATTTTTGTTACTGTATATTTAGATTTAAACTGCTCTGAGTTCTTGGGTAGACACCATTTCCTCTGGAAGTTTGTTCTGTACATCTGCCATTATTATTCAATATTTATATGTGACTGTATTTCTCCAGTTTCTCTATTTCAGTAATTTGTGTGTGACCACATTTTCTGCTCATTTCAGATTACAATGATCCTTCTTTGTCTATCTTCTCAGTACCCAGCATTATTTTATATATTATCATCATTCTCTGCTATCCAACTTCCATCCATGGATTTAGAATCGGAAAGTATATTATTACTCTTAACATCTTCAAATCATTACATTATACAAGCAGTGTACAGCAATATAAATCAAACCTACATTTCTGGGGGTAGCCCCTTGTGGTTCCTTCAAGCTACTTTGCTGATACAATGCCAAACTACTAGATGCCCTCAGTTCGGAGTTCTCTGAGGCCTATCAGGAACCACAAGCCAGACCCTGGTCCCCCCCTCCCCCTAGAGAGATGCTGGGTGCAGTGGCACGTATCATAAAAATTTTATGAATTTATTCTTGTCTGCCACTCACCAAAAAAGGCAACCAGAAATGTGTGTAACTGCTAGTTAGAAACGAAACTGCACCCTTCAAACTGCCAAAAGAAAAGAACAAAAAGAATGAAAGTTCATGATACTAGCGCTAGCTCGTTCATCCCATCATCTCCCCTTGTTGGGGGAATGAGGGAGGCAGCCATGGTCAGCTGGCTGCTCCACCCTTAGGTTTTTGCTAATGATAGTAGTGTGTGATGCCCTCTCTGTCACTCTGGCTCCAGTGTCCTGTTTCTGGGGAGAGCCCCTTATGGCTGTCTGAAGCTGTCACTGTTAATGTGCCAACTACTAGGTTGAGTCAACCTCGTAGTTTTATATGGCCTACCAGGAACCAAGAGCCTATATGACCTACCTTCTACCTCCCTGTGCCCCTTCACAGAGGCACAGGGAGTAGTGCCATTTATTGATTTATTATGACACCACTACCATAAAAGGCACCCAGAAAGTATTGCGAACATCTTGGCCAATGGTCTGTCCAGGTTCGTTCCTGTCTGTATGGAATGGACCATGGATGCCACCTGCTTTCTGTGATATAGCCAGACATTCTGGCACCCAGACATCAACCTCGTTATGTCGGCATGGTCTCGGTATTTTCCTCTTTCTATGGTGCCGTTCCCTGTCACCGAGGCCCTAGTGGTAGATGTCTTTTGGTTTAACTGGTCAAAATGGGGGTTCGTATTCTATTCAGGCAAGTCTTGTGCCAATCGCACATTAATAAAAAAAAAGTAAAACAAAGAAAAAACTGCTTATGACCTCTACTGTGTGAGAGTTGCAGGTAAAAACCAGAGAATAAAAACTTCAAACATTTAATATAACAAAATTGACTTTAACCCTTCAATTGCGCATCGCATCATATGATGCTTTGCCCGACTTGCAGTAAATTGCGCATCGCATCATATGATGCGCGGGCATACCGAGCACGATTTGAAAGGCCCGCGGGGTAGAGGGGGTCCCCATACGCTGCCCAGGGGCTATAGTAAACAGCCGCCATTTTGAAAAAAAATCCAGCTCACGCTACCATCGCTTGGAAGGCCTCAGTTACCCAGCAGCCACCATGTCGAGCGCACGGCCGAACGCTTCTCGGGCACGCCCCACGCAATCACTCGCCCAAGAGCAAATAACCAGTGAATTATTTTCCGATGGTGAGGAAAGTGACTTTGATGACTCTGATATTGATAAAGACTACACCCAATTGACCAATGTTGATAGCACGGACAGTGAATATGAGATACAGCCGCCTCCCATGGCGAGGCCTATACCCTCACCCATGCCGCCTCGGCCAGCGTCTACCCCAATATTCCCTCGGCCACACAGTTCCTGTGATTATTTAGAGTCTCAGGATACTTTCGATGACGAGTCAGAGGAAGGTGACTCTTTTTCTGGTTTTAGTGAAGTGGAATCAGAACATAGTGTTACCGAGCCTGGTGCCAGTACCAGTGGTGTTACTGGGCGAGAATTTGTCGCGTCAGCAGCGTCTCGCCCAGCCAAGCGCCACCGCATGGAACAACATGTGGCACCAAGAGCCTCATGTTCACGTGCCTCTACCTCACGTGCACATGCCTCTACCTCACGTGCACGTGCCTCTACCTCACGTGCACGTGCCTCTACCTCACGTGCAGGTAGCGGCCGTACTGTGCGTTGACGGGCTTCAGCTCCTGGTCCACGGGGTGCATCGCTTCCTCGCCGTAGTGCCTCTGCTGCGTCCCCTGTTGCGTCCCCTGTTGCGTCCCCTGCGTCTCGCAGGACACCAGGTGTACTAGTGTGGAGTGATGGTGCTGGTTTTATTCCCCGAATTCCTGCCTTTGAGGATAAAGACGTTGGGATTACAGATCTTTTCCCTGATAATGGTGATGATATGAGTGAATGTGATTATTTACCGCATTCTATATATAATGAGCCGCTCATGGAATATATTGTACACCAAACGAACTTTCATGCGGCTCATCTCATTAGAAAAGATATATCAGAATTTTCACGCTTGCAACGTTGGAAAGACACCAATATAGGTGAAATGTATGTGTTTTTTGCAATATGTATGTTGATGAAACACTGTGTCAAACACGCTATCACAGATTACTGGAGCAAAGATCTGACTATTCCAACACCTTTCTTTGGGAAATATATGTCCAGAGACAGATTTCAGATACTCCTCAGGTGTGTGCATTTGGCAACTAATGAGGACCGGACTGAGGAGGATAGACTTTGGCGAGTGAGGCACTATATGAATGAGGTGATTGGAAAATTCAGAGATTTTTACTACCAGCACAGAAGCTGGTGATTGACGAATCCCTTATACTATTCAAAAGACGTGTTTCATTCAAACAGTATATTCCCTCAAAACGAAACAGATTTGGCTTGAAATTCTTTGTACTGTGTGACTGTGAAACAGGATAGGTGTTACACATGATTCTGTATTCAGCTAGCGATGTAGACATTCCCGGTAACGACGAGCATGGATTCTCGGGTAGTGTGGTGAAGTCACTGATGGCACCATGGATGAACAAGGGCCACATCCTATACACAGATAATTACTATACAAGTCCATTGCTAGCTAAGTTCTTGATTGAAAATAGAACCGGGTTGGTTGGCACAGTAAAGCCACGAAGAAGGGAAATGCCAGTGTTTGTCGGTGGACTTGCAGTTGGTGAGTGCCAGGTACGGAAATGTGATGACATTCTCTCAGTACGGTGGAAAGACGAGAGAAGTGAACCTGCTGACAACCGTTCATGATGGTACAATGTTGAACAGTGGCAAGGTGCACCGTGTAACAAGATAACCAGTATATAAGCCAGATTGTGTTCTTGACTACAACATCAACATGCGTTTGATTGATAAGGCTGACATGATGATTGGCACTATCGAGTGTGTGCGGAAAACATTGAGGTGGACGAAAAAAGTGTTTTTCCATCTTGTTGACATGAGCATGTTGAACTGCTATAATTTGTACCTGGTGAAAACTGGACGTAAACCTGTGTTCCGTACATTTGCTTTTACACTTGCAACACAGTTATTAGCAAAGTTTGGTTAAGAAGTCCCTGGCATACAAAGACCAATCATGAACCCAGTGTTGCAGCATGATGCAACACCCAGGCTCGCTCACATGGATGCCTTTCAGCAACACAGACTAAAGAATTTGCCAGCAGGTGGAAAGCGTGCAATAGGCCAACGTGCATGCCTAGTATGTAAAACAACAAAACGAAGAGAGCAAAAACGTAAAATGGTGCAAACATGGTGTGAAGGGTGTGGAGTTGTATTGTGTGCTGTCGACTGCTTCAACGACTACCACACACTCCAAGACTTCTAAATGTGCAATAATAGTGCAAAAACCTGTACATAGTGCGTGCTAGTGTGTCCATATAAAATAATGAACATTGTGATTACTGTACATAATATAATGCCATAATGGAAAACGTTTGTGTGCGCATGTTTATACTCGATGTGTGCAACATATATTGACAATAACTGTCAAGTGACATTACGTGCAACATAATTAGTGACTAATATTGTAAAGAATACATGCGTAAACACTGTAAATAATGCCGCGAAAATATATTCGTGGCAACTGTGGCAGCTTGAAGACCGCGCGCGACGCCTCCGGAACGCACCGTGCATGAGCGAACATGCAAACTGTGACGTCATCATTCATATTATCGGCTCAATTACATCGCCGGTAAGTACAATTTATTTTTTTTTTTATTTTTCCCGTGATCAGGGAACACTAACAGGTTAGGAAGAATTTTTTTTTTTTTTTTTTTTTGCGCCTGTGGGTGTCAATCAGTATATAGCCATGCGCCATTTAAGGGTTAATAACAAACAAAATAATAAATAATTAATGAAAAACAAAACCCTTAGACACTTGGCTTTACACAAGATCAAAAAGAGAAATACTGTGTATACAAGTGAAATTTTACGTTAATATCAAGGGTGCAAATAATTCTTTATACAAAAACTGGAAGCGTCTACCATCACCCTGGGAGCTGGAGTAGACCTTACAGCTTAGAGCACTCGAAGAGTAATCTGGTGAGCTGTACGCTGGCAAGCAATTTTATATGGGCCATGACATCAGAGATCGTGCGAATTCTGTAAGTAACTATCGGCTGGTAGGGGAATGGTCGTTAGCGAGTGGCGTCTAGTCCCCTGCTGAGACAGCAGGTGCGCTGGTGTCTTGGATACTGGATACTGGAGGGTGGAGAGGGGGGGGTCTGTCTAGACACTGATATGTTTGAGCACGTATTGTTGTTGTCTTTGTTGTTGAAACATGCAGATACGTTGGTGAATAGGCGGTACAGTGAACATGCGGCGAAGGAACAGGCAGGCCCACTGCTAGGCAGGGGATTACCGTAACAGCTCCCTCCCCAAAGCCTGTTCCTATCACCTGTGATGCTGCTGCAGAGTGGAGAGTTGAAGTGGGAGGTTC